GCAACCTTTTGCAGTCAGCTCGAGACGGCTGAAAAACACTAGTGAAGTCGAGCACTTTCGACGGTAAACTCCCAGCCACGTGTTGTGCTGTGTTACACTTTGAACACTCCGTGAAAGGCAAGAACTCACTCTTTTTACTGAGCATAGGCCCCTCATCTTTTCAATAATTTCATCCATAGATAAGCACTCCGCTTGAAAGTCTCGACAACTGGACTACGTCTAGCAGTTTAAACCGAGCCTACAAAATATTTGTGGGGCGAACGGTGTAGCTACAGACGCCTTGTTTCGTATAACACTTTTGAACATCTTCCAAGGGATTAACCTTCTTAAGCTCGTAAAGATTCATAAAAGAAGATACAAATATTATCTTCCACAACTCTGAAACAAGGAGTCAAACAGATGAGGACAAGTATGGAAACTTCGCTGTATAACAAATCTACATGTAGGGATTGTCCTGTAGGGTCAGTGAAATGTCACTGAGCCCTAGCCAACTCATCCGGTAGTGGGGTCATTGAATATCGAACAGATCATCAATCCCTATCAAGGTCAAGGACAAGGAACGCGCATCAGTTTATCGTATGCCAGGAACTGGCACATGCGGTGGTGGTCACTCTATCTTCTGTGTACTAATTCTTACCAATATATTTTCACAATAACGTCATTTGTGTTATGTGGTCTTCAAATCAACCATATTGTTTTGATACGTCTAAGGGGTAATCCAAGTTAGATGTTGACCGCAAAGTGTGACTTCGAAATTAGCTAGTTCGTCACACCATTCACGTCTAACTCGAGTAGGCCTCCAATCATTCAACATAGTTCATCTACGTTGGTGATCTACAGTCCAATCGTGCCGAAACATTATTGATACAACGTCTTCAACACGTCGCACAAGCTTTCTCATCCATATGTTTGAACAGCAAACAAGCTCATAGCAAGACGATTTTGTTGGCCTGATATGAATAAACACGTGAGAAGTGGGCACGCTCCTGCACAAACTTCCAGAAATCTAAATTGATTAGACACAACAAATGTCCCTCAGGCTCTTTTACATTCCCGACGGTCGTTTCGACCATTTTCATGTTGAATTGGCAGAACACGTACCAGATTCAACTAGACACTTACCCCTAAACGTGTGTAGACCATTTCACGAGGTGGCCAGAAGCAACACCCATGAGGAACATTACTACTGAAACAGTTGTTCGCGCCTTCGTCGAACAATGGGTAGCAAACCTCAGCTCCCATTCAAATGTCATTACAGGCCATGGACACCAGTTTGTATCTGAACCTTTCGGTTGTCTTACCATACACGATTCCAAACATCCGTCTACTACCCACAAGCTAATAGGCTAACCATACGATTTCACCAACAGTTGGATGCTCCACTCTCAAGTGCAAACATATCACGATTAACTCACGCTCTTCCACTCGTGTTACGGGGTATTTGTGGTGCAGTAGAAGCTTGATGGTTTAGTAAGAAGACGAAGATTGTCAGAACTATGTGATGTGTTAGCTCAATACATTTCGGACAACCTAACATCACAGACCTGACCTCTTATTTTTATTTATGTTTTTATATATGTCCCAAAAATATATTTATGTGATCAGATTATTCGAAATATATCAGGCTGATATATCACATAATTCTGACAATCTTCTTCTTCTTATTACACTATCTAAGATGAAAACATTTGAGCATAGTCATATTGAACGGACAGTAGAAGGTTTGAGGATACAATTAATATTACTATGAATGTTTGTAAAAACGTAAGTGAACTACACAACTTAATGTCTATGGAACGAAATGAACTAATTGTTTAACACCAACTGCTTAGAATATTTTGTTCAGTATTTGAATGAACATGCAGCAGTTGATTGATTTTATAATAATTTACAACCATTATTCGCAAACAGGAGATGGACATTCTTGAATTTACACATTCTCTCCACATAACTTTGATGGTGCTTCTTTACTTTCTCGTTAATTCACTAACGTCCATATTAAAATTCATTTAACTGAAATTCAACATTTTCATGATTGTAATAAGTTTGTTTCCAATCACAAATTATGTATGTTTCCTATTACTGATTGATTATCTCACAACCAATCATGCCATTTCATTCGTTTAGAACTTTTGATTGACGTTATTGTGTTATTCAGTTAGAACACTTATAAATATCATTTCAATTATGATATGTCAAAATTAATTAAAGAATTTTAGACTTTGGAATCAAAGAAACAATATTAAGTCGGTTAAAGGGATACTGCATATTTTTTATAACGTGACAACTGATCATTAGCTTGTTTATTTTTCAAGTATTATCTTGATCATTTTTTATAAAAAGTGACAGAATATTGTTGATTAGTCGGTTTTTCTTGAAATGTTATTAGTGTTATGACAAGATTCTTACTTACTTCGATCATAACATAGGATCAAAGTCTTTGAAGAAAAATAAATCGATAACCTTCAGAATGCATTTATATGACTATAGGACATTAGAAAGTTATAAATAAAATTTAGAAACAAATTCATATTCACAAGGAAATAAATAGAATAAGACACTAGACTATTTGTTATATTTGACAGTAATCGTTACAATGAGCAATTCTCAGATATGTTCACAGTGTATACTTATTGTTATTTGGGTAAAAATATATTCGGATTTTAATTTTAATATTCCATCTAATAGACTTAATAATATAGTTATACATTTAAAAAGTTGGTATCTGTATCAGTAATACAATCAAATACATACTTTTATAGGCAATTTGTTTGAAAATTTAATTATTTCAATAGTTGAGATCATGAGTCAGTTGAAGCTAGACTACCATGAAAAATCTGGAAGCACTGGACAACCGTTTCGTCCTATTGTGAGAATTCTCAACTATTGAAATTACTATATGATATCCTTAAAACCCCTTGTGATACTAATTTCATTATTATTTCTTTGAAAAAGCTTGAACCAGATTGCCAGGCGAAACGTTGGATTTACTTCAAATTGTTTCGCTGAGATTCTACAAATACATTCTTCTTCTCTAATTTCATTATTGTTATAAAATCTTAAAATTCTATTAGAATTTTACTTATATAAATGATTTATGTAATTAACAATAATTAGAAGAAATTAATCCATAGGAGGGCGAATCATCCTAACACTATTTCAGAGATAAATTTTTGTGTTCTAATGTGTTTTGAGCAATAATCTTTTCAAAATTTTTAAAATAATAGGCATTTTACTTAAACAAAGAAAAAGACAGAACTTCAGAACTCTCTAGTTTTCATCGATTCTCCGATCAAAGCTAATTTATAGTTTAACAGCTCAAATTTCAGTCTTTTTTGTTGTTGTAGAAATATAGTTACTGGACTGGTGAACTTCCAAAATCGTTTATTTCACTTTATTTAAACTTATTCAAAGTCTTTACATCATTGTATTCAGTACAAATATGCATGTAAATGAATCGAAGTAAGGACTGCAACTGAGTAGTCTCTTTTGTCATATACGCATCTTATTTTAAACAGGTTTATTAACTTTCATCATGGTTTAATAATTTTGTGTGGTTAAGTTATGATTTTAAATAATAGTGATTACTACAATTATTAATTCGGGTTGATTTATTTTATAATCTAATTATTTTCATATTTTAACTATCTTTGACCATGGTGATTATTGTAGCAGAGATAAAAGTCCTAACATCAGTCATTCTTTCGATTTATGATACATAGAATATCTACTAAGTGACAAGAAAAAAATCATAGTTAATCTAATTATTGATCAATTAAATTTGATAGAGTGATTCGTATAATTGTAAAGGGTCAATTATGTAATTGTTATGGATAGTATAATTTCATGAAGCATGCACTAATTAGAAGAAACTAAAAGTAAATTTTAAAACTAATTTTATTGATTGAATGAAATGGTAAAGTTATTATTTTATGCTTATGATTACTGTATTCCACTTTACGGAGACCTTATTGAGATTCTTATGTAAACTATTGACTTGTATGAAACTGATCAGTCAAAATGTTGATACATATTATGGTCTATGAAAATTTTGGGAATTATTATGATACCAAACAAATTCACTGAAATGAACAAAACTTATTACTAATTATGTGAATGTGACCTGAAATTTGTCATATGGAACCCTTCTGGAAATAGATAATTATATATGTTTAGTTGCAGTTCAGACAGCTTAATGGTTGTCTCAGGAAGTAATACTTTGTGAGAAAGAATCACATCTCATGAAAATATCCGTTTCCTCAAGACTCTTTGTCGAAGGATAGCAATTAGCGGGAAAGCTAGGTCCAGAGTATCTTGTTGTTTACCCTGAATTTTAATAGTTCCCTAGCTGACAGCGATTTCCATTGAAAATTCTTAAAAAATATAATACTATCATGCCTTCTCCTAGATATACTAATGTTGTAGGGATATCTTTCTGCTGTCATCTATATTATTGTGTCTTATTCCTGTCCGTTGGCCGGACAATATTAGCAACAACCTACTGTGGGAGAGAACAAACCAGATCCCAGTGGGGGAAGAAATCAGGAAGAAGCGCTGGAGGTGGATAGGACACACATTGAGGAAAGCACCCGACTGCGTAACAAGACAAGCTCTCACATGGAATCCTCAAGGCCAAAGGAAAACAGGAAGACCAAAGAATACATTACGCCGGGAAATGAAAATAGACATGAGAAAAATGATTAAGAATTGGATGGAACTAGAAAAGAAGGCCCAGGGCAGAGTGGGTTGGAGAATGCTGGTCAGCGGCCTATGCTCCATTAGGAGTAACGGGCGTAAGTAAGTAAGTTATTCCTGAAAACACTGGATATGTTAATAATAAATCCATGAACAAATAATTGTACTATCAATATTCTAAACCATTACGGAAAATGATTTTTAACCTCAAACATAGTAGGTTTAAGTCATTTACTCGAACTTATGTACGTACGTACAAAGTCCCACGTTATTACTGACTGAAATACGTAGGAAAAAATAGTCGCATCATTTTGTAAATTGATTAACATTACAAATGTGTATCTTTTAAAACTTTTTTGTTTAGATCTAATACTATTAGGTTTACCATCATTTTGTGCAAACTGGTGGATACATACTGATTTAAATTCCTAAACAAGAATGGAACAATTATTCAATGCTTCTTAATTTTCTGCTAATTACGAAAATAATCATTGTATATTTTGTTGTTGTTAAAGTTCATCTTTTTTATGTTTTTGTTCCATTATTCGATTATCATCATTATGAGTTAATAATGAATATGGAAAAGTGAAAGAAAGTAGAAAAGAAAAAAAGCAAAAGAGAAGAACACATAAATAAAATAACAAGAATGAACAACAATTCAATAACAATGAGAGTAAAAATAAATAAACTTTAGATTAAAATGAATAACGAGCAGGAAAAGAACCCCCCCCAAACGTAAATATTAAACTCTTTTTAAGCATTCTCTGTTTATTTTATGAACATTGAATGGAAGTAAGCTAAAAATAACGATTATTTAAAAAAAATTTCATACAAGTTTAATGATGACAATGATAAATGGATTTCAGATTTCAGATCATATTCAACTGATCTAATTCCGAATGAAGATAGTACTTTATTGATCATATCGGTATTACATTATATCTTAATCTGAAATAGATAATCTTCATCATTGTTTTGTTTCATTTATCCATTGGACAGAAATTTATACAAGAAAATTGTTTTAAAATTAATACATTTTAAATAAAAGAAGTTTAACATTAAGGAGATCGAAGAATACAAGAGGATGATTATTGAAAGGATTACTGTTCACAATGTCGATATTCATCTTAGACAAATGAATAAATAAATGATTAAACTTCATCAGTTTCTTTTTCCATTAAACAAATCAGTTAATAAAATACCTAAGCAAAATAAATTACACATTTAATATACATAATTGTGGTTATACTCATAAAGATTACTAATAAACAAACATATTAATACAGTACAGTATTGTGAATGAACAAACTTAGTGGAAAGTAAGAAAGAAAAGTTAGTAAACAATGATAAATAAAGAAAAATGTGAGCATAAAATAAATGAAAAAAACTTTTTTTTTCAGTATTCTTTATTCTTTCAAGTAATTTATCAACAAGCAGAACAAACAGTGATAATAGTAAAAAGTACTTTTGCATTAAAGTTAACCGTTACACACGAATTCATCTTTTATTTTTTTTATTTTAAAAAAGTATACATAAACAAAGGCGTTTATGAATCGTGAAGCAGAAAACAAAACAATCTGGGCTAGTTTATTAACATGATTTTACTTGTCCGAATGAAATGATCAGTTTCAAGGATAATCATTATGAGATACCTTCGTACTGAAAGTAAAATGTCAATTATGTACGTGTATATACGTAATCAATGATAAGAAAAAAAAATGCCAGTGGTTCCATAAAAAATAACAATAAAGCGGATTGGATTAAATGAAATGAAACCCAAAAAGACAAAATAAAATAGATAAGATGAAAAATGTTCTCTTTTAAAATAATAATAATACATGTATGATACATTTTCACATTGTGACGGATATAAATCTTTCACTTATCTTATAGGTAGTTAGATAGCTATCTATTGTTTGTTATCAGTTGATGAATTAGGGAATGTCATAATTTTACGAAATGGTGCATAGGGAATTTGTGAGGCAGGAGAAGGCATTCCTGGTTTTGTTTCAATTGCTGGAGGTAAATTTCTATATGGATTAGGTCGTAAAGTAAAACTTGTTTTTGTCTGATTTTGTCTATTATCCATCATTCCAGTAATTATTGTTTCATTAGTATTTTGTAATGGAATTTGTGATTGAGATAAATGTGTCATAGGTAGTCTATCCGTGGAGTCAGTAAATCCTGGATTATAGTCCGGTGGTGTAAACGGTGGTCGTTCATTAATTAATATCATTGGTTTTGTAGGGGATAAACATGTATTATCAGATCCGTTTGAAGTGTTTCCACTGTTCATATTGTCTACAGTTGAAAAAGAAAGCAGGTTGTAACTGTAATAACCTTTTTTATATTTATATACTAAATTATCTATTTATAAGGACTCATTTTATTACTTAGGAATATGATGATAATTATAATTAAAATACAATAAGGTCAGTAGTATGTGTGAAATTGATTCCTTCAACCAAGTACAAATGAATAGAAATACGACTTAAATAAAAAATATTTCACTTCAATTAGTTATTTATCATGATTCAACACTATTAAATCTAGTTCTACGTATGAAAGTAAAATCATTCAGTGAAATGATAACAAGTAAATTAACATGATGTTAATATTACTAATGATAAGCCGAAATATGAAGAAGGAACAGTTAATCAGTCGATTATTAAGGCTCATTACATATTAACGAAGATGCAATAGGATCTGTGTTTAAGAATCCGTTAATCGTTTCCAATGACCATATAAGAGCAAGGATGAACATAAATGAATAGTCTAAGTATATGTGTGGGATTAATTTGATGGGGAGAGCAATTTGAGAGGTTGTAGTGATATTTATTGATGCGAAATGTAAGGTCTGTTTGTTTGAATTCCTATAATTTGTGTTGTGTGTGGGAGACGACATCTGAAAGCATAGGGGAAATCAGATTGATGCTGATATAAGGTTACAAATGCTACATTTACCTTTACTTGATGGACGGCGTCAACTAAAGGTGTACTATTAATTGTCTTTATTCTTTGCTTGAATATGAATATTGATGTTCTAACATAGTGATCATTAAACTCAAATATACTCTTACGTTATTTACATTTACATTATGTGATAAGTCTTAGTAATCGACTGACTTACTTTTTCATCTCTGGACTCCGATATATTATTATTATTATTAAGTTAATTTACCCGTCATCAATTCTTTGGCATTGATTTTTTATATTCAATATTAATTTAGTTGAGTTATATTTTTAATGTTCGAATGGAAATATATTTAAATTAGTGGTGTAGAATAGTCCACCAGGGTGCTTGGTACCTGTGTGGTTGCGCCACAGGATTGAGCTGTACTATTCAGATTGTAGCGTTAAAGCCTGTGCGGTGTCTGGTTCCCCTGCTAAACGGGGTTGAGCTGTACTGTTTGGGTTTTTACGTGAAAGTCCGGATGGTGTCTGGTTATCCTGAAAACCAAAGTAAAATTACCCTGGCCCACAAGGGTATATTATATAACTGTAACTAACTGTAAAGTGGTGTAGAAATCACATGGTATTAGAAAAGCCTAATTTTATTTTTACAGATTTCCTCAATGGTTTATTAGTTGAATATTTACACATTTTCGATGGGTAACCACCTCACACCTGACACGAATTAGCTCCATGGGTTCAGACTTCTCACTAGAACTCCGGAAATTTCTACTTAAAGCTAGTCACTAGTAAGCACTTGATGAGTGTCAATAAGGGGTTGTGGAGATTTTTGAACTCCATTGAAATCACGAATCCATTTGAGTTCAAGTGAGAAGTTGTGGCCAATGGAGCTAATTATCATATTTAATCGATTATTAAACTTCATCAAACAACTTTTGATTATATTTGATGGAATAATCATGCATTCTATTAGTTTACAGTTTTAACAGACAATAACTTTAGACAAGAATGTCTAATGATTGAACATTTAATTATGCTGTAAAAACTACATTTTCTGATTTGGACATAAGAAAAGTTCGTGTTATTGAAATTCTGTTATAATTCTTATTGTAAAATCCCCGCTTTATTTTTTAGAGAATAATTAAAAACACAAATTTAACGGTATTAGAGTCATGAAATGCACTGCTAGTCACAGCTCAACTATCTTAAATAAAAGTTTGTATTATTATGTATTTGTTCGGATCCAGCGAGCGGGATCATGAATGTGCACTGCTAAGGAGTCCCATTCTAGGTCAGAACGACCGTCCAATACTTTCAGTTTTTCCATGGTGATCTAGCTTTAACTGACTCATGAATTAAACAATTAAATTACTAAAATCTCCGCAAAATCGCTTTCTGATAGTAATTATCATGTGCTCACTAGTGACTGACTTCAATAGGTATTTCCTGGAGTTCTAGTGAGAAGCCGTGAACAGTGGAGTTCAACCGGGTCTATTGTGTGATATTAACTCACTTATGACAATGGTAGACAGTGGCACAATTTCGTATATTGGTTGAAGTCAGACATTGACACTGTCGGATACCGGCTCAATGGTCTAGACGTTGAGCGTCCACGCGCGATACCGAAGATCCTGGGTTCGCATCCCACTAGTGGGATTGTGGACGAGCATTGCTAAGGGGTCTCGTAATAGGTCGAAACGGCTGTTCAGCGCTCCTAGGTTTTCCGTGGTGGTCTAGTTTTAACTGACTCATAAATTTAACCATTAAATTACTACAATTTCCACAAAACCCTTTTCTGATATTTTATATTTTCTGGAATCTATCATATATCTCGAAACAACAGCAGTTTGGTATATATACAACAGTTGGTAACCTAATAAGTGTCGAAAAATTCTTAAAAAAACCACCTATGATATTGAATAATTTCTTTCAATATATTTCTTACAATTTACAACTAATATTTTTTCCAACCAAAATTAATTCCATTGTTCAAATATATTTTACCATTATTCACTTATTGATGATCTAATATGCTCATATGATTAATAGAAGAAATGATTAGTTTTTACTGAAAGCTTATGTAATAACAAAGAAAAACGTTAATTATCCGATCTTTACACAGTATTATTATGTAAGAAATAGGGAAGTGTAAATAAATTGATTTTCATTTTCACCATTATTTATACTTTAACGGTAACTAGTAATATAAAGAAAGTAAACGGAATGTAGGTTATTGTATGATTATCACAGATTAAAACCATGAGTCGGTTGAAGTCAGACCACCATTGGAAACCTGGAAGCACTGGACGGCCGTTTCGTCCTAGTATGGGACTCAGCAGTGCGCATCCACGATCCCGCACCCCGCAAGGATTCGAACCCAGGACCTACTGGCTTCGCGCACGAACACTTAACCATTAGACCACTGAGACGGCATCCGTCGGTGTTAATGTCTAACTTCAACCAATCCACGAAGTTGCGCCACCATGTACCATTGTCTTCAGTGAGCTGATATCTCACAACAGACCTGGTTGTACTCCACTGGTAACGGCTTCCCACTAGAACCCCAGAAGTATCTCTTGAAGTCAGTCACTAGTGAGCAGATGATGCGCACTGTTGAGGAGTCCCATACTAGGACGAAACGGTCGTCCAGTGCTTCCAGGTTTTCAATAGTGGTCTAGCTTCAACTGACTCATGATTTCAATCTGTGAAAATTTCTAAAATCTCCGCAAACCCCTTCTGATATTGTATGATTAGTTAAATTTTGATCAATTAAATGTTTTTAAGTAATTTCTAGGTAAGTTACAATAAAAAAGAACGTTAATACCAGCTATTCATCCTTATTATGTCGTTTTTTATAATCAGATAGAACTGGAAGATTCTACAAGGTCTTTACTTATGATTTGTCACAATTGACTCATGATCTTAACTGTTGAAATTACTACAATCTTCACAAAACTCCTTCTGATAATAATCAACATATGCTCACTAGTGACTGGCTTCAAGAGATATATCCTGGAGTTCTAGTGAAAAGCAGTGACCAGTGAAGTTCAACCGGGTCAGTTGTGAGGTAGTAACTCACTGATGACAATGGTGGGTGTGTTGCTCAATTTCGTGGATTAGTTGAAGTTAGACATTAACAACTTTGGATACCGGCTCAGTGGTCTAGTTGGATAAGCGCCTGGCGCGGGACTGATAGGTCCTATGTCCGAATCCCATGAGGAGGGGTCGTGGATGCGCGCTGCTGGGGAGTCCCACGATAGGAAGAAACGGCCATCCAGTGCTTCCAGGTTTTCCATGGTGGTCTAGCTTCAATTGACTCATGATCTCAACTGTTGACATATAATAATGGTTAATTTTAAACATAAATTTTATCACTTAACTATGGTGAATCATGACACTAACATGATGATCATAGATGCAGTTTATAAAATTGTATAAGGATTATCTTATTTAGCATAACAACGTGAACTTTATCATTCAATCGTCTATCCTTTAGAATACAGTTTCATCACTTGCATAATAGAAAAATTGTATTATCTATCCATGGCGGGATTAAAATTTATGGACGAACCAATCACGTATAAAATAACAGGTTTGGATTTCGGCGCGAAATTCACTCATCCATTGGGCTAAATAGAGTTTTGGCATTATAGGTGATGTCAGTTCGTCATGAAAACCATAAATACAATTTCTAACGTTAATCAATAACTGTAAATCATATTTCTAATTCTTCATACAGGTTTGTAACCCTCATTCGGTCCTGGTTATTAGATGAACACTCTCATGGTCAGTCTAGCATCGCTTAAAGGTCATCCATAAATTATAGTCTCACCCCGTCAGTTAATAATTCATAAAATAAATGTCTGTCTGATAAATTATGTCAGTAGTGTGGAAATATTAATGTTGACTGTCAGATGAACCCATAGTCATCAGAATGCATCAAGCAAAACATGGACTGAATTATAAAGCTTCTAATGTATTTTCTATATCTCCATATCCAGAATCTGTACACAGAAACAAAGTAATTAGGTATGTTTAAGAATATTCTATACAAAAATTAAAGTACAAATTTATCCTAATGTAAATGAATAAATGGACAGTATCACTAATTCGATTTACAAAATCATTGAGGTATATTAGTCCTATATGATGATAACTTTAAACTGGACACATTCAATTTATTTCACTGTGTTCCAGTAATAATGAATGCTCATCTAATTCCAACCAGTGTTATGTTCATAAACCTAAGCAATATAAAGTGTTAATTATTAAATGACAATTATTAAAAGAAGTTGAGATTTGCTACTATGTTAAACCTTAAAATTAACATCATATCCAAGATATAGAATCAGATATGATTCACATGGTCGGAAAAATTGAAAATTACAGAACAAACTCACCTAGTTTTGTATTTTTTGACTGACGACCATTACTTGTGAATTTTTTTGGACTAGTTATTGTTGTTAACATTTTTTCAGTTTCTAGATTTACAACACTATGTCCACTATTAACAATGGATGTATGCGATGTTAATCCATCTGTACATGATCTACCATTTTTACGATACCATACAAATGCTAATATACCTAATAATAGTATAATAAATGATATACAAACTGGTAAAAGAGTCCCAAGTAGAATTATTCTTGATCCATTCATTTCATCCTGTATAGATGAAGTTGATAACGATGATAATGATGAGGATGATGATGACGATGATATAGATGAACCAATATCAACTAAATCTTTATATTCTCTTTTATTTTCATAATTTGGAATAAACGTCTCATGATTACCTTCAAATCCAGGTCCAGGTATGAAAATTGGTGGAGCTTCTGTGTATGAAAATATAAAAAAAATGTATACTCAAAGAATTATTTATTAAAATAATAAAAGAGACACAATAGACGTATTTATCAAAATTTTACCAATCACATTCATGAACTACATATTATATAGAAAGTTAATTAAATATAATTAGTTTTCAATTAATAACAAGTTTCAGTAAATTACAATACCATCATGCATCTAATGATTTTGTTCTATATTGGCAAAAGAAATAGTCATTGAATGAATTTTGTTATTTCCCAAAATTAAAAAATAAACTAAGAGAAATAATCAGAGAGGGGTTTTGTGGATATTATAGTAATTTAATAGTTGAATTCATGAGTCATTTGAAGCTAGACCACTAAGGAAAACCTGGAAGCACTGGATGGTTGTTTCTTCCTATTACAGGATTTCTCAACAGTGCGCATTCACGATCCCGCCTTGCGAGATTCAAGTCCAGGACCTATCAGTCTCGCTAGTGACGGTCTCCATGTAAAATTGTTTGTTGCTTATTTTAACTAACACCCTCAATTATTTTGTTTCGTTATGAAATTCCTTATTAAACGAAAAGTGACTGTGTACTAATTGTCTCCCTCTTTTTTTCTCAGCATTTCTTTTTCATGTTCTATAACTAGTAGCATACATTAAATCAACAATTAAACATGTGTTTTTTTCTTGCCATTGATGATAAATAAAAGAAAAATTAGTATCAGAATGGGTTTTGTGGAGATTGTAGTAATTTCAATAGTTGAGAGCAAGAGTCAATTAAAGCTAGACCACTATAGAAAACCTGGAAGCACTGGACAGCTGTTTCGTCCCATTGTGGGACTCCTCAGAACTGCGCATCCACGATCCCGCTCCTTGGGCTTCAAAACCAGGACCTATCGGCTTCGAATTCCATAGTTCAATGAGCATTAGGATAATTGACAACAAATACAATAACAATATAAAATCTTAATTAATTCCAAAAAACCCATTAAATATTCATAAACAAAAAAACCCAATCATAATTACGTTGTGTTTGAATACAAGGACCAAGTCGTTCAATTTGTATTTCATCTAATTGACCTACACCAGCTTCTTTTAAATGTTTTATAAAATCAATTGATGGTTGTTGTAAATCTTTTCTTATTTCTGATAAAAGACGATTTTCTAATTTTATTATTTCTTTTTCAGGACAATTTATTGTAGTATATAAATGACGTTTATTTCTATATACATTTTTATATTGTTCATAAATAGGTTTAGTAAAGTGTATAGTTGATAATGAAGATTGACAATTATCATGATGATTATTACATTTTGATTGTTTATTTAATTGTAAAGGAATTTGATTAAAATCTATATTACGTTTAACTGTATGATGTATATGTTTAGACCATTGATTCCAATATTCTTGTTGAGTATAAGAATCTAATAATTCTGTTTTATTTAAATGAATATTTTCAGTAAGAATTAAAATAGACTTTTGAGCCCATATAACAGAAAATCCAGAGGCTATATTGAAAAAAGTATTTGGAAAAGAAAAAGAAAAATATAATAAAATGATAAAACAGTAGACTCAGTATAAGCAAAGATGGATAGCGGTTAATAGTGAAATCTAGGATGCGCGTTTCGTCCTATTTGGGACTCATCAGTTGGATGTACCTGCATCTTAGAATTGATGTTCACCTTCAGAATCGAACCCAGTATCGTTCGCTTCAAACATCATCGCGTTATCCACTTAGCTACTGAGTCCTGATAGCCACTTGCTTGTGCAATGGGGTGAAGTTTAAGTTCACTTGGTGTTCTTTACTTAATTTTTTATAATGCTAGTGAAATAATGCAATATCGAGGTAATACGCACACAATGCACGTATGCTAGTAACAGACTGACCAATTACAGTGCTAAACATCAATGAGAAAATTCAAGTAAACAATACCAAGTGAAATAAACTCAGTATTCCTTTTAAAATTGATCAGACGAATATCTTAAAGTAGTGTTACAACTACATTTTAAAAAGTTGATGTTCGAATAGTTTCCATAATATGGTCAAAAGTTTTACGAATTAGTTTATAACCACGATAACCTGTTGAATGTATTTTAATCGTCAATCAGCATACAAAGCTCTCGGTGATATTGAGTTAAGTAGTTTTTCATATGCGTTATAAATGGTTTGATAAAATTCAATCACTGGTAATATTAACACTGTTTACTGATCAGTGAGTGAATATTTTAAACCCCACATCCTTTTATGATGCGATTTTGGAGGTAACCTGTTTGATTCAGGCATTAATGGACTCACATTTGTGTCTTTGAATTAAAACCTTTTTTTTAATGTTACATGTTATCTACGCTCATGAATTTCAATCAGCACATAACTTAGATACAGGAATTGTAACTGATGACTCTTAACCATATGATAACATTTCTTCATAGTTTGCATATTAGTTTATGTGCCAAGCATATTTATTATTTAAGCTTGAAAAAATGATTATGAATCTTGAAAATTCGTCTATTTCGAACAGCAGATTAATTCTCAAATTCACTTGTACACTAACCAACTGATAAGAAGTATATAGATCTTAGAATCATCTAAATTTACTAAAGCAATACAATCCTCTCAATTAATTAATTTTATGTAAAATAAGTTTGCAAACCACTATATTTGATCGGGTGTATTGAAACAGAGGAGACTTTGTTAGAATTATACTGACAATTACTATTTTTATTTTAAGGTGACTTTTTAATACTTTTTTTGTGTGTCAAGTAATAATTAGACCAGTGTTCAATAAGGTAATTTTGTGGGGGTCGATTGGAGTACCAGAGAGAACTGATCAGGTTTTCCATCCTACTTTGGGACTACTCAGTAATGTTCATCGACCACTCAAGTGATATTAAATTCAAAACATTCTGGATTAGTAGTGACTATGACATTTTCAAAGCACAAAGTTTGAATTCGATAGTAACAGTTTTCAACTTTGGTCTGTTCAGAATACAGTATAACCTTCACTCGATTTCATTAAAAAATTGTTTCCTTCTCAAATTTGGAGTATTACTTTATTTCTAGAAATTCAGTAGTTCATTTATGTTATAATATGTTGAACTTAAGATCTGGATTTTTATTCTTCCCATACCTTGATAGTTAAGTGTAAGTAAAATAATATCCATATCATTTCTACATATCATGCTTCCCATACAATGAGGTCTAAGGTAATCATCCAAAGCTGAAATCAGTAGCCATCTATCTACCAGACTATGTCCTCCTGTCCATGGTCGACCATGATCTGCGCTAAAGTGCATTACTACGCGATGATTGAAATTTGTTGGCAGTTGTGGATTGGATCCAGCCACATATATTGAAAATTGAACACCCACATTCTTTTCTGGATTATCCGTTATACTAAAGTAAAAAGGTACACAGAATAAATGCCAAGCATTTCAAGTTACTGAGTTATTGCAAAGTAATATAAAACTTTATTTCGCTTTTAAAAAATATAGCATTCGAATAAAGTTAGACTGTAACTAGGGTGTGGAATACGGGGTAAGGGTTTTGTTCCGATTGAAACTTGCCAGATGAACATGCTTGTATTTCGGTGTTAGTGCACACACCGCAACTCGAATTTAGCTCTTTTTTTTCAAAGTCGCAGAGCACTATCTATTGAACTGTTTAGACCAGACAATCATTTGGATGCACAGTGAGTGTGTAATTTGTTTGTAGGGATTTAGATGTAAAGAACTGCAATCCACCAGTGTCTTTTGGAATATGTACATCTTGATTGAATTGCCCTGATAGTGCCGACAGAGATTGGTCAGTTTCAGTATTTAACACCAACTATTGGAAAATTCGAGCATCAACGGTAAATTATTGATAATAGTTTGCCGTAACAGAAATGACTCGATCGGTAACTAAGTCAAACTCTATTAGTCATTTTTAGTTGCCAAAGATTAGTAAAAAATATCTATCGACTGTTTTTAAGCATTCATATTAAAAATTCACTTTAAAATCATATTTTTAGGCAGTCCTAGAAACATTAGCTACTGATCTAATAGCTTTCCATTAGCATCGGTGAGTCGTTAAATTACTATTCGTATCAGAAGGGGTTTTTGTGGATATCATGAGTCAATTGAAGCTAGACCATCATGAAAAACGTGGAAGCATTGGATGGCCGTTTTGTCTTATTGTGGGACTTCTCAGCAGTGCTCGTCCACGATCCCACCTCACAAGATTCGAACCCAGGACATATCGGTCTCGCGCGCGAACACTAGTAGTGTCTATATGGTGTTTCATATTTTGTAATGTTAACTATCAAATCTAAATTCCTAACATTTTTCTTCTGACAGAATTTCATCAAAGAAATATTCTAGTAATAGTTTTCAGAAAAAAATCCATTATTCAACTGGGATATTCTATTAATGGAGAATTTTCTATTTGAAATCTTTTTACATATTGAATGTATTGCTGTGATCAAATTAAATTAATAAAATGACTATGTGTTACTTGTTATCTTTAAGTAATCTGAAAAGTTGCCGTTTTTCCGTTTTGAAAATACTTTAAGTTTAAGTGGTGAAGAAGAGTTTTATAAAAATGAAGCAAAGGTATTAAAAAAGAATAAATAGTAGAACTATTATTAGTTATTATTTACTATTTGTATCAGGTATTCCTTTTTTATGCATAAGAATGGTAGTTTTTTTAAGTTTTATGTTTTAATTGAATATTTTCTGATTTATATTTAAAATGGTGCATAAATAGATTGAAGTGAGATAGTAGTTAAAAGTACTTCCAAAGTATCAGAGTTATATTACTCTGATGATAAGAATATATGATAAACTTTCATTTATAACTACCAGTGATGAATCATGAGACCTGAATATAAGACTTTTCATATTCAGTTGAAGTCAATCGTTAATGGGTTTTGTTATTGTTCTAGTTGAATCTTCCCATTGATGTTTAGCACTGCAATTGATCAGTTTATTATTGGCATATGTGCATACTGTGCGTGTTGCTTTGATATAGCCTTAATTCACAAGTATTATGTGCAAAGATGAATAGCGGCTAGCAGTGGGATCCATAATGCACGTTTCGTCCTATTTGAGACTCGTCGGCTGGATGTACCTGCATCTCAGAGTTGATTTTCACTCTGGGACTCGAACCCAGTACCGTCCGCTTCAAACGCAATCGCGTTATCGCCTCAACTTATCTTTAATTGTTATTTTTATATGCTAGTTTAGGTTATTATTTAATGAAGTATCAAGATTAAAACTTTATTAAACATATCAGAATTATACAACCTGTTTGAATTATTAAAATGAATTGCCATCGGATCAGACAAATTCATAGGAAACATCAAGAGATGACAAAAAAAATCATTAGAGAAGAAATCAATAACTACATAATAACAACTATCAACTTATTCTTTATATGTGACAAATAAATTTATGTCATAATCCGATAACGTGAGATAGGTGTTACTCAAAGTGATATACATTTTACACCCATTATCATATAGCTATTCTACTCTGGAAGTAGATTGAAATTAGGCAGTAAATTTGACTAGAAGAAGAGCAACGAACGTAGCAGAATAAGATAAAATCAATAATTAAAAAGAGCAAGAATAAACATTTGTCTTGTTCCGTTTTAGTAGTTTTTGTTAGAATATTTAACGAGTTAGTACATGTATTTATTCTGTTGTACTTCTATTCAATGATTTAACAAAATACTTAAGACATTTTTGTAATGAATTCCATTATAATTCTAATAATTCGTTGGTCAAGTCAACTAAAACACTTTTGTCACATGTAAACTTGATGATGTAAACTCATTTATTTTTTACTTCATATTTCTAATAGTTTTATAAACAAATATTTTTACATGGAAATACTAATTTCAACGAAACTAATACATTCAGAATAAGTAGTTAATATCATCAACTAGTCTTAGTTGAAAGCTGTGACCAGTGAATTTCAACAGTATCAGTTGTCAGGTAGGTGTTACAAAGAGTGGTAGATGATAGTTGAGCACTACTTTGAGTTCATTAAAGTTAAACATGTCAACCATTGAACATCAACTCACTGGCCGAAAGCCTAATCAGTCATTGAGAAGAATGAAAGCTTTGCGTTCAGTCTCCATTCATAGCCATGAATTTGAACTGCTAAGGAGTCCTATACTAGAACGAAATTGTTGTCTAGTGCTTTCTAGTTTTCAGTAGCTGTTTAAATTAAATCAGTTCGTGATATAAGTTATAAAATATACTAATCTATACCAGAGCCTATGATCATGAAACGTTTTTATTGTTTAAATCACGAAATAATCTTAGCCAAACCACTACTGAAAACCTGTAAACATTTGACGGCCATTCGGTCTTAGTACAGGACTCCTCAGTGATATGCATTCAAGACTCCGGATTCGATCAGTTTGAGATTTAAACGGTGAAAATTATGCAACCTCCAAAAATTCCTCTATATCACTACAAAGATATTTGCTGAATAATTAAAACTATATGTATCATTTTAGAACTTACTGAAATTTATGACTTGATGGTTGAACAGAATTGCCAATAATGATGCCAAATATTGTTGATTTATCTTTCTCTAAACCAATCCAATGTGATGAGCCTACTTGTCTACCACCTTAAGGAAAAACAAATGAAAAAAAATAGGATAGTTTATGTTTATTCATTTGATCAAAAATTCAACTTTGAACAAAGTAATTTTAATAGTTGAATTCATGAGTCGATTTAAACTAGACCACCATTAAGAACCTGGAAGCACTGGATGGCCGTTTCGTCCTAGTATAGGACTACTCAGCAGTGCGTATCTACGATCTAACGTCCAATTTTAATCGACCCAAGATATTGCACGACGCTTCGTCCATTGTCTGAGGTCGATACTTATTTCTACTTGATGCTTATAGAACCCTTCACTGGTTCAATCAAAATGTCTAACGTAATAATCAGATCAACCTTAGCGGTAGAACTTACTTCAATACACATAATTTTAGCACAAAGAATAATGTCTTGTGGTCTCTTCATAGTTTTATGAAGTATACATGATCCGGATCATGTTGCCGTAATATTTTCAGTATACGAAAACAATACTTTTTATTATGCATGATACTTCACTACCAATTCATTTACTTGTCAAGATAGATACTTTACTACAAATTTGGATGTATACAAGAAAAGGAAACTATTTCAAAATAGTTACTATCTACTCTCCATTTACTTTCATTTTCACTGTATACTGGTTACTTCTAAGACTTAAATGAAAGTTTCTTTCATTAAAAGCATTCTTCAAATATTAGGAAGGAAGAATATATTTACAAAATCTTCTCAGCGAATGAATTTGAAGCAAGCCAAACGTTTCGCTTGACAATTTGGTCCAAACGTTTTCAAAGAAATATAATCAAACATCAAAATTATTGAATATCATCCTCCAAATAGACATAAATATATTTTTCAAGAATTCTGTACTTCAAAGTTGAAGAATATGATAAAATTTCAAAATGCTTAAGAATATTACTGCTTACTTATATCATATAAATGAACATTGCCTCGAGACATTGTTGCCAAAGTATCATCATTTACTATTTTACGTCGAAAACCTTCACCTAATAAAACAGTTAATACAAGGAGAATTGAGTGATAATTCTATGTTTGTAATATGTGTACACTTTTATAGTCAATATTTAATTACAAAGTTTTATTGTATTCAGATAAATAGTTCACAATTTCTTCTATACCTCGTGTATAGAACAAAAAAAACAACCCCTTAATTTAATAAACTATCACAAATTCAATAATTTATCATCATCAAAGCTTTACTAAAACAAATAGAAATGTTAAGTTCGAATATTTGAATTGTTATAGTAGAACGAAATTACACTGAAGGTAGATACATTAGATGATGATGATGATGATGAGTGTCTTTCATGTATTTTGAGGATAATTTTTATTATGAACTGAAGTCAACTAGAAAATCACTAGAAATCAACAAATATTACACAACTAGTTTATTCTAATATAAAAACTCCACAATAGTAACAGGTACCTAAGATTACAGAGCGTTTCTAATTTTTAATGTTCCAACAAATGACTAAACGCTAAGTTAATGTTAATATTGTATGCCAGGAAGCATGAGTGTGTGCATAGAGTAGAGAAACTTTTATTATATTGATAAAAAAATGTATAAATCATTGATAAACTCGGTGGACAAGGTAGACAATATGTTAAATTAAAAGTATAACTAATAATAATACTGATGTAAATCGTAATTAACTCCACCTGTAGCTATTCTCGAGTTACTGCCTGTCCTAAGCCCGGGTAAATGAGGAGGATTGAGCGTGTGGTCAGCAACCCCGACTCGTAGAAAACAACTTTACTGAAAAAACGCCAACCAGATTAAACTCTGAGTTATAACGCCTCATGATGAAAGCCCAGTCCCTTCGGAAGCCACGGGGCCGATGCCCATTCTAACAACCAGAGCAACAACTTGTATAGTTACATGGGACGTCCGGACAATGTGGGAGACCGGGAACACCAGTCAAATAGCAACGGAAATGAGGAGATACAATTTGGCAGTACTAGAAATCAGAGAAACCCATTGGACTCAAGCTGGACAACAAAGGCTAAAAACGGGAGAGATGCTGCTTTACTCCGGTCACGAAGAGAAAAATGCTCCACACACAGCGAGTTGCTCTAATGCTGTTCAAAGTAGCACGAAATGCACTTGTAGGATGGGAATCTCACGAATCCAGAATTATCAAAGCATCATTCAAAACAAAGAAGGAGGGGATCACAATGAATATTATCCAATGTTATGCACCCACCAATTATAGCAATGACGACACTAAAAATCAATCCTATGAGAGGCTGCAATCAATCATAGAGAAGTGCGCAAGAAACCACCTCACCTTTCTGATGGGAGATCTAAATGCCAAAGTCCGAATGGACAACACCGGATATGAAGATATCATGGACATGGACTGACAGGGAGAGAGAAACGAAAATGGGGAGAGATTTGCAAATCTGTGTGCATTCAACGAATTGGTCATAGGAGGCACAATATATCCACACAAACGTATACACAAAGCTACATGGATCTCACCGGACTACACTACAGAGAACCAGATATATCATATTTGTATCAATAAAGAGTTCCGAAGGACAATGGAAAATGTGAGAACCAGGAGACGAGCTGATATAGCTTCGGATCACCATCTAGTTGTGGCCAACTTAAAATTGAAGCTAAAGAAGAACTGAACAACTGGACAAACAGCATTACAAAGGTTCAATGCAGTCTTCCTTCGACATGCTGACAAACTCAACAGGTTCAAAATAACTCTCAACAACAGGTTCCAAGCCTTACAGGATCTACTGAAAGAAGAAGAAACTACTATCGGGGAGAACTGGAAAGGTATCAAAGAAGCATTAACTTCAACGGGTCAGGAGGTTCTTGGTCGCATGAAGCATCATCATGAAGAATGGATTTCTATCAAAACTCTATACAATATTCAAGGAGAAAAGAACAAGAGGACAGCAACTAACAACAACAGAACAAGAACAGAGAAAGTAAAGATACAAGATGAATCCACTGAAGCAAACAAGCAACTGAAGAAGAGTATTAGGGCCTACAGGCAGAAATATGTGAAAGAGCTAGCAACGACAAGGGAAGACGCTGCAATAGAAGGAAATATGAAACAACTTCACGATACAACGAAGGAACTATCAGGGAAATATTGTAAACCAGAGAGCCCGGTCAAGGACAAAGAAGGAAAGTCAATCACTGGAACTCAAGAAAATGGGAACAGATGGGTGGATCAATTCGAGAAACTCTCAAATAGACCAGCTTCATTAAATTCACCGGAGATCGAAGCAGTACACATAGACCTTTCTATAGATGTCACTCTGTGTTGTGTGCTATACATGTCGACAGATATAAATAGTATGTACCACCAATCGTAGGTGAAATGCCTGGTAGAAGAAGGTTAAGAAGATCGGAGAAAAGGAAATGAGAACAGAGAATGATTGCTGTGGAAGCGAAGAAATAATAAAGTCTGAGACGATTGATTGATATTTTGCAAATGAAATATTTGCTATATGGTTCTCAGATTTTACTAAGACGTTCTGTAATTTTGTGTTTAGATACGTCCGATTGTCCCCACTTGTGTTCTCGTGCACTGCAACTCCATCGAAAAAGTCAGGATGGCCATCAGACGAGTAAAGAGTTGGGAAGCAGTGAGACCTGGAAATGGATCAACCGAAGCACGTCCAATTCGAAAATATTTGGGAGGAAGAACAAGTGTCACTGACAGACTGGAAAGAAGGTTACCTAATCAAGATGCCGAAGAAAGAAGATTCGAGCAAGTGTGAGAACTAAAGAGGCATCATACCACAATCAATACCAGGAAATCTTTTCAAGAGAGTGCTGCTGAACCGAACGAAAGATTTAGTAGACTATCATATTCGAGATCAACAGGCTGGATTCCGTAAGGACCGGTCGTGCACAGATCATATCGTGACACTACCGATCACCGTTGAACAATCTATTGAATAGAACTCGTCACCATACGTCAACTTACTTGCTTATAGGAAAGTATTTAGCTGTGGATAGAAGAACCTTGTAGAATCACCTTCAGCATTATGGTGTACCTGAGAAAATAGTCAACATCTTTCGGAATTCATACGACGGACTGCAGTGCAAAGTGGTACATACAGGACAGCTGACAGACGCATTCCAAGTAAGGACCGGATTCAGACAAGGCTGCTTACACTCCCCCTTTCTCTTCCTCCTAGTGTTTGACTGGATTATGAAGAACTCAACATCTAAGGGAAGGCACAGAATACAATGGACAGCTCGGAATTAATTAGAAGATTTGGACTTCGCAGATGACTTGACCCTTTTATCCCATACATACGAACCAATACAGATGAAGACAACTAGAGTAGCAGTAGCCTCTTCAGCAGTAGGCCTCAACATACACAAGGCAAAAGACAAGATCCTCAAATACAACATGGAGAGCACCAACCCAATCACACTTGATGAATAAGCTCTGTAGGAGGTGTAAACTTTCAAGTACATTGGAAGCATCATCGATGAATGAGGACGAATGGATGCAGGCGTAAAGGCAAGGATTGTCAAGGCAAGGATAGCATTCTCAAAGTTAAAGAAAATACGCAACCCAAAACAACTGTCAACCAATATCAAAATGAGGATCTTCAATAGGAACGTCAAGAAAGTTCTAATGTACATATGGAGCTGAAGCTTGAAGATTTACCTCAGCTATCGTCAACCGTGTACAGGTATTTTTAACCAATCACCTACACAATCAACGCAATGTCTGTTAGTCGTATTCCATCAGCAACAACCTACTGTGGGAGAGGACAAACCAGCTTCCGATTGAAGGAGGTGGATAGAATATACATTACGGAAATCACCAAACTGCATCATGAGGCAACCACTAACTTGGAGTCCTGATGGGGATTGGAAAAGGGGAAGATCGAAGAACAAATTGCACCGAGAATTGAAAGATGACATGAAAAGGATGAATAGCAAGTGGAAAGAAAGGGAAAGTATTGTCCAGGACAGAGTTGGATGAAGAATGCTGGTGGGCGGCTTGTGCTCCTCTACGAGGGGTAACAAGCACAAGTAAGTAAATATACGGTAATTACACCCATCCTATTAAATCAGAAAAGCGATTCGTCATTTTACTGAAATTGAGTTTTTTGTTCTAGGTGATTTAAGCGTAAAGGTTTGATTAACGTTTTAGGCAAAATAGACAATAAAACCTAAGAACCAGTACGATCGTAGAACAATTTAAGAATTTCTCCTTAAGTATGATATGTATATACTCATTCTAAAATAACTTATTGATCTATTAACATGTTGTTTAGTTAGTCATAAGTGTTTCACAGTAATCCTCAGAGGTCTAAATGTTCTAGTCTTATACGATGCCGAACAAAAAGAATTATTAGCTTCATACTAAAAAATAAAATTTAATTTTTACATTTTCAAATATTATCAGTTGGTAGTCAAATAAAAATATTTAAATTAGAATGATGCCGAATCTCGGAACAACAATAAGGCTATATACTCGTGGACCTTCGTTTTTAGTTTATCAATAATGTTTTATATCAGCAATTTTCTATAAGATTGTTAGTAGTTCGCCTTGGTTGTTATGATATGCAGTTACCAACTGTAATTTATATGACACGCCTTATGTTACTTTCACTTATGGATGAAACTATGAAACATTTGTTATTATTGATTCAATTTTTTAAAAATTATAGTTGCGTTAATTCATATCACGAACCTCATTTCAAGTCTAAGATTTTAAATAGTGCACCTAACCCGAGTATTTTGATGAAGTGAAAATTTATAGATGCTTTATGTAACTTCTAATGTCAATCATTTTGTTACTCAATCATTCAAACAAACAAAATATTAGTTAGAACACGGTTCGATCCAGTATTAAGACAAGCTATTTCATTATTGATCAAGACATTTTTCACAATTTAATATACATTATGTAAAGTGTGTAATTAAGAATTCTCAGTTCATTATATACGTAAAAATGACAAATCATTTAACATGATTCTAAACGTACCCGTAAATACTGTGAAATTCATAATCACATCATTATCTAAACTTGAGAATGAAGAGAATCTGTTTTGCATTGATTGTCCCATCAGTTCTTGACCTTCGAACTTATTAGTATGACGTGCACAACTTCCCATACGATCAACTACAGCCGCTTCAACTATTCCAAGTTCAGATGATTCGATATGTGCTCTAAAATGATTCGAAGGTGCTGACCAAGGGGATAGATAGAGTTGACCATCGTTAGCAAGACCAGTGACAAGACCTAGATTTTTCTGAGCTGAAACTAAAGTTGGTGCAAAAATAAGTAAATTTTGTAAATGATCGAATTTTTCCCATGGACAGTTAGACAAATTTTCATCTGTTTGCGATTTTCCTTGTTCTTGAAGCAATGAAAGTTGAGCCCATGTGACTGATAGACTGTTTACATCTGAAAAAAGAACGGAAAATGAATTGTAATGTATATATGGGAATGAAATTTTAGATTTTAAGTACCTTAACTATCAAAATTAAACATTTTTACAGTACAATATACATCAAAGACATCATTATTTATCTTATTTCAGTGATATGTCAGTGAGATATATGCTCAAATTATTATCTACACTAATTTTAAAAATGACTGAAAAGCTTGATGTTATCAATGTGATGAGGAACATTTCCATATATTATGGGCTAATAAACAGTATTCGCTGAAATTATGAACAGACCGATGTCAGATTCCACTGAAAACTCAGAAACACTGGACGGCCGCTTCGTCCTAGCATGCGATTCTTCAAAAGTGCGCATCTACGATCCCGCACATGGGAATCGAAACCAAGACTTTCGATCTCACGTAAACGCCTAATCTATAGACCACTGAGCCGGCATCTAACGGTGTTAATGTCTAGATTTAATCAGTTTATGACGTTGCGCAATAATCTTCGATTGAGTAACTGCCACTGCAACCCTATATTGATAATTATTTCTGAAAAGCTCCATATAAGAATGAAACGGTTGTCCAGTGCTTCCAGGTTTTCAATGGTGGTTCATAATTTCATTGAAACTTATCAATCTCCACAACCTTATACAGATAAACAGTATTCAGCTGGTCGGCATTCTCGATTTCACCATAATGGAAAATCAAAGTACATTGATTTGGCGATGATAATTTTTGGATACTGAAACCATGCAAGATAAGTTCAGTAGATAAATACTTATTGATTTATCACTGAAATACATTCAGTAATGAAATGAATTGGTTTATTAATATTAATTAGTTTTCACATGCTGTTGATAAGAAAATTATTTATAAATGTACAATAGGAAGATTAACTTTATTTGTTATTTATAAACATTATGTTAAATGAACTTGAACTTAAATAGAAGACGTCGTGATTACGGAATACTTTCTTTACGGTGGGTAAACAGATATTTAATAAGAATAGAATGAATAGAGCGAATCGTCCTAAGCCTAGAACAGATACAATTATGAATCTGATTTTGTTGTATTGTTCATAACAAGAATGGAACGGAACACTGTAATTTGAGCTAATATTTTACTCAAAAATGATAGATTATACTGGTGTAAGTACTTAGAGATCATAGAAAATTCTCTGAATCGAAAAATATTTTCATCTGTATTGTATGATCTACAGTAATAAATAAAAACAATGAACAGTTTTTTGCACTGAGCCAAACCAATGACGTTCGACCGGTATGGTCAGTCTAGCGTCCTTATTGGTCCTATATCCGCCTAACCCGTCCACTTGAGTCAAGAACAACAATACCAGCTTCCAATATGCGAGTCGAATAATTTATTTCAGATATACTGGGTTTATATATCAATCAAACAGACCGCCACGCACCATAAAATAGGAAATAACATTTGTACACAATAAAGCCAAAAAGTGGCTGTGAACGTGGGAGGCAGTAGTTAATAAACTGAACATAGCTTAAGAACCGTAAATTGTACAATAATAAACTATAGGTCAAAATAAAGCTTATAACAAGGGGAATATAGATATAAATAATCTAGTTACCGAATATTTATACCATGAGAATATATAAATAATAATAGGCCATTAATAAGTCTCAGACATTACTCGTAATGTAATCTTCACTAGGATATAACATTTCCAAGTAATATTTGTCATATTCCTAGCTTTTTGTCTAATGCATGTTTAGGTATCATACTGATCAATGTTTTGTGATAATTTTTTTATGGTCAAAACCGTTTTTCGTAAAATAAATTGTTTCGCTTTTAAAAGCCTTAGAAATGTACTTGATTTTGAGGTTTATGATCTTCAAACCAATGAAAAGGTCATTATCTATATATTTGTAGTAGGAATGAAAAGTCTGAATTATCTTTGAAAGAAACATCGGATAATTGTTTTTCATAGCAGTTTTGGATAGTATCTTCATCGAAATCTTACAAGGATTTGATTGGGTGGGATTAATTAATGTTCTTTATTTTATTTTAGACAAAATATTCAACTCCATAACAATTTTATCAAACCATCAGCATTTTGTAGGCTTGAAAACGCGTTTCTTTGTATCATTTTGGGTTATAAACGCTATAAAAAATTTTCCTTTAAGAGGTTGATTTGAATAAAATTACATGTTATAAAACCGAAGTAACCAGAAACATTCATATTAGTCCATTTAAACGTTAGTCTTTTTAACTAATCTCCAGATTCTGTTTCGGTCTATTATCAGAAAGTTGAGTTTACTAGAATTCTGAATACACTTTGTCTTCCTCTTTATACACTTGAAGTAATATATAGTCTTTAAAATTTCTGGAAAAAGCAGTTCAGGTTTATTCGTTTGGAAGAGTTCTTAAAGGTGTCTCATGTTTTTTTACATAACTGCAATTCATAAAAAGAACAGCTTCGGTTAAATTTTCAAGTGCAAAGATTTTAGAGTTGCTTTTTTAGTTGCGTTGGTTAAAATGATCACCAGTGTTTGAATAAGACTCAGTGAAGTTTGCTAAAAGTATGATTAGTCATATATATTGCTATGTTGTTAAAGTCAGTGTACAGAAAAACCTTGAATTAGATTTTGTGCTAGTTGGTACTTTCCATCAACCGTTATGTGTAATCTTGAGAAGACAGGCTCTCTGTCAAATTCGAACCAACGTCACTCAGTTTTACAGTGTGAGACTTTACTACTGAGTTATTTTGGCTTCAAACAACCTCCTGCAGGATTGATGTATTTGCTAATGACTAGTCCCTGCGTAGCAACTGATATAACATTTATCTGACCTTTGTTGCTTACCGAATTATATAGATCAACTTTCAATAAGATCATTAATGTTCGTGGATTGACACAATGTACAATATGTTAATGCGTCAGATAGTTGGAGGTATTTGACAGAAACTGAACTTTCATGGTAGTTAGCATTCGTCCAACCACCTAGAATGTCAACACAGTGCATGAAATATCAAGTTATTTAGACTAGTGACTACTATCCAGCTTGATTCATATAACTCGGACTAGACAAACATGGCATTGGTCACCATTCCGTAATTAATGAATTGTCAATAGTAATCATTTCAACATGATATTTTAATAACCTGTTTTAGTTTCCTTGAGAAGCAACAAATGTTCTCATAGTTAATTTTTGTTTTCTACCATCGTATCATGGAGAGGAGAAGAAATTGTTAAAAAATTATCAATGATTGTTTAGTTGCAAAGTATTTGATTGATGTGCATTTCAGTATTTTCTACTTATTTAGTAATCAATTTAGGTAAAGTGTTTTAACTACCACGACTTCGTTTTACCGATACAAGGTCAAAGTAAGTTAACAACCACATTACTTACTATATACTTTAGTTTCAGAGAAATAATTTTAAGTGAAAGTTATTTTGGATTAAGTTTATATGATTGGGTTAGATGCATTGTCTTGTGTCTTGTCCTATAGTAAATAAATAATCATTAGATTTTTATGATATTTAGTTACCACTAGCCATAGGAACCAATAGAAAAGTTATATATAGCTGGGGTAAAGTGCAGAAATCAAGTAACAGATGGAAGACATCCCAGAAAAAAAAAGGAAATTGGTGTCTTGAAAAGTTTCTGTAGTTTAGCCCATTCATCATATTTTTGGGTTGGATCTAATAGTGGAAGCTACAATAATCATTTTGTACTAGTTGGGACATGGCAACTAGATATATTCTAATCTTATTGTTAATATTTTACGAATGAGACTGAAATTCACCACCTAACTCTTTAAATGATAATCATCTAAGGATTCACAAAAGCCACTAACTCGTATAACAGATTTTAGTTGAACGATAAGAACCGGGTTTGAAGCTCAGTGAAAACGTCAACACAGAGTTGAAGATATATCCAGGTGGAATCCCTAAAGCAGAAGTAAATTAAAACTCTAGATTTCACTTATCATATTTCAAGAAATACAATAAATTTGTAAATACATATAGTATAAAGGCCTCTGTCCAAGGATATCATATGACAACAGAAAACTGATCAAACTCTTTCTGAATATCAACAACAGAAAGAACAAATTCTTTTTCTTCTTACTACTAATAACAATGATAGTAATAATGTTGTGATCTATTTGTTTAGTGAACTATATATATTTCATTGAAATTAAGTAACTCACTTTCCTTATTTGTTTACATTTGTAATATGATAACTTGTTTGACGTTGAATTAAATATAATCCAGTTTCATATTTATTTATATAATATCACTGTTAGGAATTAATTCTATTCGACAGACTGAACACAATGTTAGCTTAACGGAGTTCTACACAGTAAACGTATGTGTATAAATATGTTTCATTTTCATAAACATTAGAATGTGAAAAATTGAAATTTGATGCTGTAACATACAGCTTACTGAAATTTTTCAAAGTAATTATTTGCTTTCCAATAAAATTAAAAAAATAAAATTTTTCCATGCTTCTCTGTGAACTGATATAATTGAAAATCATAAGAATGAACTTTCACTTGCTTACTAATTCAATAATCGTCCTATATAATATTTTAATTTAAGAAAGATAGTTATTATATGAATCATTTACTATTCGTTAGTATAAAATAAAATAAATGTCAACTTACTTTGTTGTGTTATCTGCCAGATACCAACGTCTGGATTACAAGGTGGTGAACAATTTGGATGAAGAAATTTATCAATTGCATTTGAAAGTTTCCATCTATAATTTAATGAATTTGATGGTTTAACTGGCCATATTTCAGTTGATTGACTAGTTGACGTTTGAATTGATGGTAAGATACGTAAACGAACACGATGATTTAATTGAAAGGATTTATCTTTTCTCATAGTATCAAACCAATCTTGTACTTCTACTGTAAAGCCAATTGTAATAGGTGTTTTTTGATCAACGGAATGAATATAAAGTCTAAGGTTGAAAGAAAAGAAATAAAACATTCTAAAATAAACAATATATTTATCACATTAAGTGTTTTGTGATCATTTATAATTTTAACTTTTCTTACATTTATTCTTCGAAAAAGTTTCTTAAAGGTTTGCCGTATTTCTGTGACTAGAATGTACGTTTGGGTTTCATACTAGACTTATTATCACACTTTTTCATATTTATGTTAAGATGAGGACTTTCTTTTCTGTATTTATATTAATTTTAAAACAGTGGATAAATAAAGTGACCTTATAGACATATTAGTTTGTGATTAATTAGATTATTTAAATGCCCTTAAACTCGTCTTTGCCCTTACGATTCGTCAGACAGTGTTGAATTACAAGAGATACTCCTGGAGATCTAATGAGAAGCCGTTACCAGTGGAGTTCAACCAGGTCCGTTGTGAGATATCAGCTTACTGAAGATAATGGTGCACGGTGGCGCAACTTCGTGGATTGGTTGAAGTTAGAAATTAACACCGTTGGATGTCGGTCAGCTCAGTGGTCTAGTTGGTTAAGGGCCTGGCACGAGAGTGATAGGTCCTGGGTTCGAATCTCGCAGGGTGCGGGATCGTGGATGCTCACTGCTGAGGAGACCCACGTTGGGACGAAACGGCCGTCCAGTGCATCCAGGTTCTCCATGGTGGTCTAGCTTCATTTGAATCATGATTTCAATCAGTGGAATCAATTAGATTATTTAAATGCCCTTAAACTCGTCTTTGCCCTTACAATTCGTCAGACAGTGTTGAATTACAAAACAAGCCAGATATGAGAAAGTTATGAATTAATTTTTAGACAAATTCAGAAGCATAAATTAAGCAAACAAGGAAACTTGTAATCATATCAACATAGTCATGAAATCCGTTCATTATCAGTTCACTAGTTACTAAATAAACGCATATTTTGTAACGATAAGCTAAATATTGTAATTCTACAAAACAGTTAATAGTATATCCGGAAAATAAAGAATATTCGCAAATATTTGCTATTAGCAAATAGTAACAGCTAAATATCAGCTAGACTAAACAAACAGATACATTTTTGTATAAAGAGTTTGAAAAGAGATTTCATTTGAATTGATGATGATATAACATTATTAATACTTTCTCCTGATGTGAAGTTTAACTTGGGTAGACACATAGATTCTTATTACTTTTCTATGGTTTGTAGTTCGAAATTCTATGGAAACTTTTAAGTAAATTTATCTGCTTTAGGTTTGTTTTAACTGATGGATTATGTACTTATCTACATTTCAAAAAAGCATATAACCTATTGTAATTGTAGTTATCACTAAATACAAACGGAATCATTACTATAATGGTAGGTAAAATTTATTCTTTGTCTGACTTTTAGGCAAACAAGAGGTGATTAGTAATGAATCCATGTCCCGAAAATCATGTTATGAAAATACATAACTTGAGTAAAACTGATTGAAAGCGTTTACGAATGATTGTTGTTGACATTTAGGTGACCCGATATCTGACTCCAATTAGATCATATGAATGATTGTTATTGAAATATACAACCCAGTTACCTTCGTATACAATCATCGACTTAACTCGCGTTAAGGACTGACGAAATTAAGTAAATAAATACGATAATTAATTTTGAATACGTGTATTTCACACAATCATTGATCTGGACAGACAATCAGGGAAACGAAACGAAGGAAGCGGAGAGGAAAGAGAGGAGTGGAAATGACATGTGTGCAGACTCAATTTAATCGAGAGTTAATCGATATTTGTAGTCAAACAGAAATAAATTATAAACACATGATGAATAGGGTAATTAAATAACATATATATAGGATCGTATAAAAAATTTAGGGTTAATAAGGGAGTAGGTGTAGCTTCAGAAGAACAGATTGGTCTGTTCAGAGGCTAGATTAACCTACGTGAGGTTGACATAGTCCCAGCCACTACAGACTACTGATTACTACCGGAAGAACTTTCTTATGAATATACACTATTCGAATACTCAAAAATTATTTGTACGTAAGACGTTAATTTGCTGTAATACTACACATTTTATACGAAGAATTCTATACTTAAATCAAACAGAAATGTTATCAAATAAAGCTAATAACATTTATTCTCAATAGATCTTGTTTAGGTATCCTTGAAGTAAAATTAAGTTAATTTTTAAATAGTGTTGAAACTTTTGCAATTTACAATTTTACACGCATAAAAATTTAAAAACAAAGGAGCTTGAAACTTCACTTTATCCAAATTTTTTATGTTTGAGTGAACTCATAAAGTTTATTACTTTGAATTAATTCACTACCCTTGTCCTACATACGTGTTCGATTCCTTTATAAGTTCACAAATAATATATATATCTTTATCTTTATGAAAGAAGAACATTGAAAGGTATTGCTTCCTAAAAGGCAACATTTTTTCAGTTAAATCTTTCACCTGTTCAGTTATAACTCAGCTGAAATAAAGATTTTCTTATTACTGTGACGAATGGTGACGATTGTTGAAGTTTATAGTTAGTATCATGAACTGTTCTTAGCTGAACAGAAAAATATTTTGTCTGTATATAGATAAGCACGGCTGAGGAGTTCCATATTCCGATATAAAAGCTATTCAATGCTTTCTGATTTCGAAGACTTATTTAACTAAGATTAGACTTTGATGATAAATATATAAGATTTTCTTAGTTTGATTACTTATATACTGATAGTTTTTTTTTTGAAAATTTATGGTGAACTTGTAAGCTGACAATAAATATTTCGAATCATGGGTTTAGACTTTTCAATCACAACCAATTGAGCAGCGTGGTAGATGGATATAAACTTTTTTCTTTGGAATCGAATAAACAAGAGGTCTTGGCATTAACTGACTTTTGAACTTATTAATAAACTAGTTGATAATCATTTGATACTAATGTGTTAGTCAGCAACGTTTCATCTTTTTCAACCGTGTCAGCAATGCAAATTCTTTTTTATTCCTATTAAAGAGATACTTAACCAAGCCTCTCTTGTATTGCAATGGACAGAAATTGGTTTCCTATAAACTGACCGTCTTATAGTAACATCCTCCCTTAGACTTAAAAGTATGTCTGAAAAGAACAATCGGCCATTATTTTCTGCTTCATAAGTCATCATGATATCATTTTGAACCTCAGTGAGTTTATCTAATAACATGGAAACCTTAAAATCCTTAGCACATATAACTAGTACATCATTTATGTTTCTTCTTGACAAAATCGCCTCATGTCATGTCGACATGTTATTTTTATAAGTACAGTAATAATAATATTATTTAGATGAATATATTCCAACTTTATTACAACTTCTTTAAAAAGGTATTAACAAATTTTCTTTATTATGGAATTCAACCGGGTCAGTTGTGAGATAGTAACTCACTGATGAAAGTGGTGGATGTGTTGCCCAGTTTTGTGGATTAGTTGAAGTTAGACATTAACACCGTTGGATGCCGACTCAATGGTTAAGCGCTAGAGATCTGTCCTGGGTTCGAATCATGCGAGCGGGATCGTGGATGAGCATTGCTAAGGAGTCCCACACTAGGATGAAACGGCCGTTCAGTGCTTGCAGGTTTTTCAAGATGGTCTAGCTTCAAATGAATCTTGCTCTCAACTATTGAAATTACTACAATCTCCACAAAACCCCTTCTGATACTAATTTTTCTATTATTTATAATCAATGACCGGAAAATACACATGTTTAATTGTTGGTTTAATGTATACTACTAGTTATAGAACATTAAAAAGAAATGCTGAGAAAAAGAAGGGAGACAAGTAGTACACAATCTATTTTCGTTGAATAAGGATTTTCAAAACAAAACAAAATAATAATTGAGGGTGTTAGTTAAAATAAGAAGCAAACAATTTTACATGTTCAACAGATAAAAGAGAATAAGATCTTATAATAAATTCATTGAGATTATTCAGTATAGATTGTTCTAAAACACCCATTATTTATTGTGTACCTAATGCGACTACAAATTAATCAAAGAAATGATTTTAATTACAAAGTGTATTTAAATTGGAAGAGAAAATCGTGCTTTTAAAAAAATGCTTGTTTTGTATTGGAATTCTGCTAGGATGAAGAGCCTATAAGAGAGAGTATAGTTCAGCAATAACTCCAAATATACTATGGTGGTAGTTGGATAATGACAAGGAAAGTGTATATTTATCAGTCATGGATGGATGGTAATACTTTAAGAATCATATTTTTCATTCAAATAGATTGTGAATAGTTTTCTAGATTACCAATAAGTTACGTAATGAGTTTTGTCTTAATGATTCATATGGTAAACTACTAATAGTTTACGCTACTTGAGACAAACACTTGAACTGCGGAAATTTGTGTACATCCTCTGAAGAAGTGGCTTACACTGAGTCGCGAAACGTCAGAAAATTTAACTTTTCTACTTATATATATATATATATATATATATATATATATATATATATATATATATATATATAATTTTTATTTATGCACATTTATATATATAGTTCAACCAATCTTAAGATTGGAATATGTCAGCTCATGTCATCGTCATGTCATTTTTGGTCTAGTTGATTCTGTGTGGGACATCATCACGTGTATTTATATGTATGCTAGTGGATGTGAATGATATGAAATTTGTATTGTGAGGGAGTGGAGTTTAGATATGAGTAGATACGTGTTTGTGTTAATGTTTTGAGAGATGAATAAAAATAAAAATCATTGTTCGGATATATCGTTCAAGTTGAATGAATAGTCAGGCTTCCCGTTCTATTGAAGATAAAGGGATTTAGCATCATATGAATCGCATCACCTAATCATCTTTCTTTATGGTTGATAAAAACTTTTCTAAATTATTTTTATACTTTGAATGTTGATTTAGTGATTGTTGAAGAGATCATGTACAGCTACTGTTTGTTTGACTATACTCCCTCACATTATAAATTCTTTATCATTCACATCCACTAGCATACATATAAATACACGTGATGATGTCTCACACAGAA